AAATAGGGTGAATACATCTCATTACACTGATTTACTGGTAGTCTCGAAACCCTACTATCATACGAATATCAATCCAGTAGCCTGTTATCTTATTGCGGTAAAACTTAGCTGTCCATCCATCATTAGGCAAGAATTACCGATAGCCTCGAAATATACTTACATCTAAAGAATACTAGTTTTGCCGTAAATAGAGGCCACATTTTAAAAAGTGTGCCTGTTTCTAATATCGAAGCCCGGTTAGTACTCTCAAGAGGGATGCACTTTGGCACGACAAGGACATTACCCAGGCGTAGGCCAGACGGATTGAGAGCGCTCTGGTCACCGGGTACAGTATTCTTGTTTAGCGTGACTCCGGACAGGTCGGCGACTAATTGAGCGCGTGCACCGTCTCCACGTGCCAGACCCGTCCAGACATGAGAAGGTGGCAAAATGCGTGAGGATGGCCGCACCCGGTCTAAAGATCCGACCAAGTCAAGTAGTACAAAATGCACGTCTGTCCCTCCGGAGACAAGGCGGAAGCCACGGCGAGTTAGGCCATCGCTTAAAGCCTGAGCATTTGCTAAAACACGCTTGGCGTAGGTACGGAAGGATGCTTGACTGGCCTAGGAAAGGGATAAGGGAGAGTCGACAAAAAGGTGGATAGATGAACTGTTGGATAGAAAATACAAAAAAAATTAAAAGTCACAATGAGGAGGTTTCTATACTATTCCAATATGGGGTTGTCTTGTGATGCGGAAGATTGCTTGTAGGCAATTCGGTAAGCCCAAGATTCGACTTCTGAAGTAATACGAATCAAAATTTGGGTCGAGCATGGGCTGCAGTCTGCACACTGGATATTATTTTAAATAGATTGTAGATCCAAGGCTGAGTTATTCATGTTTTTTTCATGAAGTGGTCCAAGAAATGATCTTTAAACAGGATGAACGGTTCAAAACGAAGCCTACAATAAATACATCCTGTGCCCTTGATCCAAGAAAAAACAACCGAAAAGGCTTCAAGATCTAGTAATGGTTTCGAACCCACGCAAAACGAACGTAAGTAAAGAAGTCGAGGTTACTATTAAATATAAGAGTGTTTCACAGATAATCCCATCATACGAAAAATATGATATGGTAAAGATCTTGCATTCTTCGAAAGTCAAGTCTGCCTTGTCCCTCAAAGGAACTTTGGCGTAGTGGTAGCTTGCCTCAACTATACGTTGCACTATCTGGGTTCAATAAGACCAGTTCAGACGAAATCAAAACTACAGTCCACTCGTGTCTGGATGTGAATATCCTTAGGAGGGGAAGGAAATATTAGGCCTAGTTATATGATTGTGGAAAAACTCAACTAGCAGTCCTTCTTCACCTTAAGCGAAATAAGGTCAATTCAGCTCTTATAAAGATAAACTGGTAGTTGCGAAACCTACTCAATACGAATGCAAGTTATTTTTTACCTGAAGCTCATATTACGGATGCGCATTTATCCGTCTCGATAAGAACGTGGTCATGTTCGGAAGTCCTTCTTGCATTGTTCAGTTAAGTCTGGCCGAGGTTGAACTAAGAAGATAGAGGAGAGCGTAAAACTCGAGGCTGTAGCGAAAACTAATGGTAGTCTTTGGACGAAATAAGCCCACGAATACGCCCATTGAAATCTTTCTGGAGGCTGAGCATGCTAATCCCCTTCGGCAGAGATTTTGAAGGTTCAAAGAAGGAAAGGCGCCTCGGAAAGCAAGAAGATGCTACAACGAGAGAAGGGTCAAATAGCTGTGATTTAAAATCCTTAGAGATATAAACACAGCAAGGGCGTGTGATAAGTGCCTGTTACAGGTTCAAATATGTCCATAGGTGGAGGATACAGGATGACGCCAAACCAAGCGCGAATATGTGCAGTCAATTTATAGTTAAGTGTAGATTTTGGCTTTTTTTCAGATAGCGGCACTAAACCAGAGATAAATAAAGCTAGTTTAGGCTTGGCAGTTTAGATCAGACCGATCTTTGGGTGTTGCTTAGCTGAAACAAGGTTAAAATGCAAAGAATGATGATATTTGGTAAGTTCAGTCTATTCAACTACTCGATAAAAGTTCATAAATGAGTAGCACCTCTTCATGCAGACTGGAATAGTCATATTTGGGCTCTCTCCGACAATGCACTATTTGAATGAAATACGAAAATATAGATTTGCCATCGGCTTCAGGAGGGTGAATGAAAAATGAGACTTAGCGATTAAAACGAGCTAGACGAATGGGCAAAGGGCGGTGATAGAAAAAGAAAGAGTGGTTTGGAGGTATGTATGAAAGGATATCGGTTTCGAGGAGGAGGGCAAGAGAAAGTATGTATCTAGTCCCGCGTCCTTTGCCAGAGCGATAAAGATAATTTTCAGCATCGGATTGCGCTGACTTGGTACATCTGAGAAACTCATCAAATTGATAAACGATTGCCTATTTTCTGTTGAGCGGTTGAGACATCTCCCTATCCTCTTTAT